CCCAAAAAAAAAAAAAAAAAAAAAAAGTGAACAACAAAACTACAGTTTGTGAGATCTCACATCGATTGGAGAGGGGAACGAGTGCCAGCGAGGACGCTAAGCCCCGAAGGGGGTAGATTGTGAGATTCCACATCGGTTGGTGAGGGAACTAAACATTCTTTATAATAGTGTGGAAACCTCTCCATAGCAAACGTGTTTTAAAAATCTTGAGAGAAAGTCTGAAAGGAAAAGCCCAAAGAGGACAATATCTGCTAGCGATGGACTTGGGCTTTTACAAATGGTATCGGAGCCAGACACCGGGGCAGTGTGCCAACGAGGACGCTGAGCCTTGAAGAGGATAGACACCAAGCGATGTGTCAGCAAGGACACTGGGCCCTAAATAGGGGTGGATTGTGAGATCTCACATCTCCGAGAGGGGAACGAAGCATTCTTTATAAGGGTGTAAAAACCTCTCCCTAGCAGACGAGTTTTAAAAACCTTGACGGGAAGCTCAAAAGGGAAAGCCCAAAGAAGACAATATCTGCTAGCGGTGGGCTCGGGCTGTTACACAACTAATTTAGATACCATGGCATATTTACTCCAAAGAATTGTTCACCAAGTACAAAAATATTATGATTCTCGACTAGCTATGGTTTCTAAATAGTTCCCTGATCAATGCCAAAGCAAGCAACTGAACAAGAATAAATTAAAAATTCTGTTATCATTGAATGGAAAACTGACCGTAGCTCCTGGTGCCCATTCACGGTACGTGATACCTGTGGCACTGAAAAAACCAATTGAAAACAAATTTAGAAACCATACAAGAAATTTATCAGCATGGTTTAAATAACAATTAATTGGAAAAAGAAGGTGATCTACTCCTATTGTCAACGTATATAACAGAAAGAGAAGGGGAACTAGTGGGTAAGAAGTGTAAAGTAAGTGGGGTGCCTTTTTGTAGCTAACTAGTAGACGGGAAGGGGAGAGGAGATAATGACCATTTAGGATAGAGCATGGGGGAGAAGTACTCGATCAGGTGATAAACTAACAAATGGGAGAGAAAGGTGAAGTCTCTAATCTTCCCATAGGCTAGCACTTCTATGTGCTCTTTTGAATCTGAAGTGAATTCAATCCATGGTAGACATGAACGATTTTTTTTATTGGAATGGAAGGAATTACTTTAAGATATCTTAAACGAACATAAATATTTTATTGCAGAAATAACAAAACGATACTAATCAAGAATAGATATGATAAAATTAAGGAAACATGAAGTATGAATATGATAATCGAGCCACATATGAAGCTTCACCAAAAATGACAAAAATAGTCCTAACTAGTCTTCTAATGACTCCAAGTTTCTGGAATAAGTAGGCTATTTATTTGAGCTAAACAAACAACACTTCACAAGATTAAAACAATGACTTTCAAAATCACCTTTGTCACTTTGGATTGGGCAAAACCTGCTCCTAAGTACATATCCGCATCTTGACTCACATGCAAATTCTCATTGAAATCACCAAATACTGCTAAAAATATAATTTCACGTTTACTTCATTTATTGGTCATAAACTATTTTTATATTTCTACATACTTGGTATCCTTATTTCCCTGAGATTGCTGAAATATCTGTATACCTCTTTAATACTTTATTTTTGACATACAAATATATTCTCCATACAGCAGTAAAAGAATTATCTGAGATTGCTGAAATATCAATAAAAGAATAGATAAAACATTATTGTTCTACAAGTTTCGATTTTATTACACATAACAATAGTGCCAATCATAAGGTGGTCTGAATCAGTATTTTCACACTTCCAAGTGCGTGTGAGAGAGAGACACAGGCAGCACATAAAAACTAAGAAAGTTACCTGCGTGTGAAACCAAACTTTTCATAGCCACGGGAGAATGCTTCTAACCCACCTTCATTCTGGTCAATAGCCTCCCTTAGCCTTCTGTACTGTCCATAGCTAAATATATACAGAAATGGTTAGACTTTATCCGACATGCTATGAGAAAAAACAAGAGATTTTTTTTTTTATGTAAGGTCAGTGATAAAAGGAATATGAAAGATTCTGCAAATTTGATATTCTTCAAAGATTCCACTGCTATTGATTGAATTTCTAAAAGACTTGATAAATGAGAAAGCTGGTTTTTCGAAAGGGAGAAAACTCACTATTCAATTTTTTCTTTTTCTTTTTATTTCTGAGTATGCTCATTTACATCATATTTGTTTCCCAGATGCCAGCAAACGTTGTCAAGACTCATGAAAAGAAGATGAGAGGAATTTTCTATGGGCTGAGGGCACTGATTATGGAGCCGCTTGGTTGGGAAGTGATCCCTTTTTCTCACTTCTTGGGGTGGGGAGACTCGCATTCCTGACCTCTTGGTTGAGGGTAGCCTCGGAGCTATTTTCACTTTGGCACTTTTCTCCCTTTTATACATGTGGCTTTTAACACATTTCGCAAAGACCCCAAGAACATTCAAATTTTCTTCTGAAATTTAATGATAAAGGGCGTTACATTTTGCTTCTCTCCCAACACATGCTGCCTTTGAAAGAGGGATGGGGGGACCAAAACCATCAATTCATGCACTTCTGTGTTCGTTCTTCAAGAATTTTGGTCCTTCCCTAAGAATGCTTCTTTCAACCTTGAACAAATCCTGAGAGATCATCTTTTCAATGAAATGCAACGTCCTTTTGGAGAATGCAACTAAGGGGGTTATTTAGAAAATTTACCTAGAAAGACTTTTCAAGGATACTTCAAAAGAAAGTGAAGGAACTTCGGTACATATACTTCAAAGTCTCTTCAAAGTTCCTTTCCAGAGATCCTCACTGTAATTATAATTCTCCTTTTCATTAATATCAGATGTATAAATTTTTGGAATCCCCTTAGCTTCTTTCAATATGATGTCTTATTGAGTGTTATACTTGTTTTAAAACCAATGGAAGTTACTTACCAAGGATGACGATACAGACTTACCGGTAATCAAGATGTCCTTTGTGAGCCAACAAATATGGATCTATTTCATAGATTCTCTGCCCACTGCCAGGTGGAGGAATGGATCTCACAGTGGGTTCGGCCAAGCTACTTTTTGAAGGAATTGATATTTCCTCCAGTGGTGCTTGATCCATCAGCTTCTCATCAGCTTCTATTGTTTGACTATCTACATCATGAAGCACCTGAAACCAAGATACAAAAATAATGAAGGTAATCTGTCAAGAAACTTATTGATGTGACGACGAAAGTAAACATGGGTATATAGACAAAAGTAAAGACATCAAATCAATACGACTAATAGACAAAAGATATCCTCATGAATGTCTTTAGAATGAAAAAATGCAAGTCCAGCTGGTTGTTTTCAGCATATTAAATTATCTCTTTTAAAAGAAAGACCAAAAATTAAGTAATTAAATGGGCCTAGACATAGATAAATTTACTGACAGTACTTATACAGGGCAAAGATAGCCAGACCGCTGATTTATAGGATTGATTTTAAAATGGGTTGGGAATTTAAGATTCTAAGTATACCTTTAGGGTTTCAAAACATCTCACCTATAGTTAGAATGGTTTTAAAAAACAGCCTTCCAACTAGAAGCAATCAAAGAAGGAAAATAGTTGCAAAAAATAGATCTATGTTCGGGTTATCCAAATTAACGAGACCAAATGACCAAAACTTTCTTGTTCAGATTGGTGAGACCATAGATGATAGAATTCAAGGTATTAAGGACTGATCTAGGTTCTTTCTTTCTTTCTTTCTTTCTTTTTTTTTTTTTTTTTTTTTTTTTTTTTTTTTTTTTTTTTTTTTTTTTTTTTTTTTTTT